TTTTCCAAGTTGGTAAGCTAATCATTTGTTTGGCTTAGGGTGCTTGTAGAGGATGTAAAATCGATTCGGTTGGTATATAACAATGATTAGAAATTAACTGATCGAAAATTTTAAACCTTACTCTCGTTAACTTTTGATAACTTTTGATTACAATACCCACGCGGACATGTAAAATTGAAAATTCTAAATTTTTTCCAAGTTGGTAAGCTAATCATTTGTTTGGCTTAGGGTGCTTGTAGAGGATGTAAAATCGATTCGATTATTATATAACAATGATTGGAAATGAACTGATCGAAAATTTTAAACCTTACTCTCGTTAACTTTTGATAACTTTTAATAACTATACCCACGCGGACATGTAAAAATGAGAATTCTAAATTTTTTCCAAGTTAGTGAGCTGATCATTTGTTTGGTTTAGGATGCTTGTGGAGGATGTAAGATCGATTCGATTGGTATATAACGATGATTAGAAATGAACCGATCGAAAATTTTAAATCTTACTCTAGTTAACTTTTGATAACAATACCCACGCGGACGTATGTAAAAATGAAAATTCTAAATTTTTTTTAAGTTAGTAAGCTAATCATTTGTTTGGCTTACACAATATAATAAATCACCAAGGCATTAGCTGCCCCGGAACTGCCCCTCCAGCCACCCCAAAGTTTTACCCTTATTATATAAAAATTCAGAAAAAATCGTTACAATGGCCCTTTGAAGCTGGCGATTTTTTGTAGGACTCATACAATACCCCAACACAATATAAAAAATCCCCAAGCCATTAGCTGCCCCTGAACTACCCCTCCAGCCACCCCAAAGTTTTTCCCTTATTATATAAAAATTCAGAAAAAATCGTTACAATGGCCCTTTGAAGCTGGCGATTTTTTGTAGGACTCATACAATACCCCAACACAATATAAAAAATCCCCAAGCCATTAGCTGCCCCTGAACTACCCCTCCAGCCACCCCAAAGTTTTTCCCTTATTATATAAAAATTCAGAAAAAATCGTTACAATGGCCCTTTGAAGCTGGCGATTTTTTGTAGGACTCATACAATACCCCAACACAATATAAAAAATCCCCAAGCCATTAGCTGCCCCTGAACTACCCCTCCAGCCACCCCAAAGTTTTTCCCTTATTATATAAAAATTCAGAAAAAATCGTTACAATGGCCCTTTGAAGCTGGCGATTTTTTGTAGGACTCCCACAACCCCTCCACACAATATAAAAAATCACCGAGGCATTTGCTGCCCCGGAACTACCCCTCCAGCCCCCCCAAAGTTTTACCCTTATTATATAAAAATTCGGAAAAACAGCTTCAAAGGGCCCTTGGAAGGATTTTATCTTAAATTTTTTTTCCAAGTGTAAGTTTTTGGGGTGGCTGGAGGGGTGGTTTTTGTGTTTTGAGGAGCTAATATATCATTTTTAGGGCTCACTGTCTCTATTCGAAACTGAAAAACCATTTTCAGTTTCAGGAGCAAAAAAAATTTTTTTTCGATTTTCGTTCATAAATGAACGTTCGGAACTTCAGGTACATATTTTTTAAAGCATCGAATAATTTAAAACATCGATTTCAAGTCATATAAAGTAGAAAATCCAATAAAAGATTAACTATTTTATCTAACTTATCAGCTATGCACAATGATTCTTCTAAATTGGCTCATTTAAAATTATTGATTGAAGTTATCTTCGTGAAAAATCATCGTAAATTTATAATCTACAGTAAAAGGTTAAAAATAAAACGTTGAGCGCGATTTGTGATATCGTAACATTTTTCCGCGCTAAATAAAGAATAAATAAACGGAAATAGAACAAAAAGAATAGAAACACTCAGCGTTAAAAGTGAAACCAATAAAAAAAGGGCTTGTTTCTTTTAGTTACATTATTGCATTTTGATGGTAAAGATGAAAGAATATAGAGGGTAAATTTCCCGCGTTCTATTGGCTGTTTTTTATTGACAGAGAAAATACCTGACTCACTGTTTTTTTTACTCCGCTTCTCTTGGTTATTAATATAATAAAAAAAAACATCAAATTAACCACCGACAATCTATCATTTTCTATTTTCGGTGGCGGAAAGTGATATATTGGATTTAAGTGCGTGTAAATTGTTTCAGGTTGTAAATTATACGGGGTTTATGTATGAGAATTGAATTTGTCAAGTGATTCTTTATTTATTAGTGAAAAGTTAGTTTGATTTAAAGACCCGTGAGAAAATTTTTTCTGTCGTAGCCACATCAGAAAATTTGATGTCTATACATGACCTATTATTTAAATTAGTGTAGAAAACCTCTGACAGAGCGCGCATGATCGCTGAATTGTCTTATTACTAGAGAGTTAAGTTTTTTGTTACATTATAAAATAAAAATGAATTTTTTTCAATTTTCTTAGAGGGTTCGTCTTCTATTGATTTTCAGTTTAATTAAGTACTAAACGAAATTTTGTTTCACAAAACATGTTAATTGATTCAAAAAAAAAAAAAAAAAAAACTACTTCTTTACTTTTATACGTAGCCGGATATGGCCATATATGACTATATCGGTCTATATATGTTCATATTAGGACATGCATGGCTTATATTTTGTTTGTCATCGATTTTATTTATTTATATAAATTTAAATAAAATATTGATAAACATTTTTATAGTACTTGTTACGTTGCGATTTGATATATTGATACCTTCATATTTTTAATTTGTAATGCAGTGAAATAAATTTTTACGCTTTTTATAAATCCATTTAAAAAAAATTCAAATTAATATTCAATTAATTATTGCAAAATATTTGTCTAATTTTAAAGGAATTTCATTTAACTCAAATATAAACACAAAACTTGAATTTCAACTCGAATATATTCGTATACGTTAAGTTATATATAAAATATACGTTAAATTCTTCAAAGCATTTAATTATTCAGAACTAATATAAGCATAAATATGTTTAATGAAATACCTGAAGACTTCCACTAAATTTTAAAGTTATTAATTTACTTCCTATAAGTTTCCAGGGCGTGATAATAATTTACATCAAAATATTACATTTGACCTTGAATAAATTAGATCATAAATATTATTACAAGCTTCTAGCGATATTTTCTAAATAATTTTTAGCTTACCGAAATATGAAATTACGAATTATTAATTGATAAGTTTCTTAGATTAACTGGACTCTCGAAGCAACATTTAATTAATTATTTCTATTTAAAAATTCATAACTTAGACAACTCGTTAAGTATTGATACATTTATCCGATAAAGTAAAGTTTATAATTAAAAAACTTTCTTATGGTGTTGCTTGAATCATAAATTATCTGTACAGTTTTTAAAATCTAAGATTAAAAAAAATATTAAGCCAAAATGTTGATAAAAACTTTGTTTTATCTTTCATCATAAATTATATTTTTTTTAAGGCGCGCAGTAGCCTATCGGATCCGGCCCTTGCTATCAAAGCATTGGACCGGGTTCGAATCCGGCGTACACCAATGAATATTTTCAATATTTAAGTGTATTATTCTGCTCAGCCCAAGAAATACAAACGAGTTCCAATCTCAAAAGTTTACCCCCTACCGTAGTCGCTCATGACCTTAGTAGCTTATGCGACTTTAAACAAATAAAAAAAAAAAAAAAAAATTATATTTATATTATTGTGATATTATACAGACTTATATTGTGATATGAGAGGTAGAGACGATATTCGATTAATAAAAAAAAAAAAAATTCAAAGTAAAAAGCATCTCAAAATATCCAATATTCACGAGGCTTATCGAAAATACACGCATTAGTCTAGATGATTGATTCATATTTAATGCTTGCATTCCTCAGTTGTGATATAGTAATAAAAATGAAAATGATAATATTTATGACAAGTAATGATAATGATAATGACGGATGATAGATTGAGTGATACGGATATTGAAGATTCTACCGAATGATTACATTTTATTTCTGTTGTAATAAATGTGAAATTGTATTCATATTAGAGAACCAAGAAAAAATGTGATGACTTATCTTTTGAATTTACGGTAACTAATAACAATATTTTAACGCTGATGGAAAAATTATTTTTAGAGTAAATTTCAAAACTCCAAATGAATATCAAAAGATGAAACTTTCAATTTTTTGTTTTAAGAATTAATAATTTCCAAAAAAAGGAATTTGAAGAGATGAAAAAACAATACATAGGACAATTTTCAAACCTGCAGGTTTTTCAGTTTGAAAACTTACGGAAAAATTGTCAACAAATGTAACCTTTTGTAAAAAGTATGCTAGATATTTTTAAAAAAATGATCAAAAGTTGGCTAATTTTAGTGTCGAAAATTTAGACACCCAAACTCTTAAATCGAAATAGTGACTATAGTGAAAATTCAGTCTAAAAATTTCATATAAATTCTGAAAAAAACATTTTTTTCGACAACGATATCTCACAAACGAATAAACCGATTTTGACCGGACCGGTGGCGATCGAGGTGGTTTTTCAAGGTTAAAAGCTGATTAGTTTTTGGAATCGATCAGTAAAGTCGTTTAGAAATTATTTAAAAAAAAAACATTTTTTGAAAATTTTATTTTTGAGATTTCTCAAAATCTAGCAAACTAAATCGATTAAAATTTCCACAAAATTTTATGGCAATGATGCTCTTTGGATCGCCACCTATCTCGATCCGATCAGTCGAGCCGTTCAAAAGTTATAAGAGGTTTACATGCATATACACACACACATACATACAGACAGACAGACACCATCGCGGGAATAGTCAGAGAAGGTCCCTAGGATTTGAAAACGTCGAGATCTGATGAAAACTCGATTTTCGAAAAACGGGGAAGAAACAATTACTTCCCGATTTTTGAAAATTTTTAATTCTCTCAGCGGGAAGTTAAAAAACGCTAAGGTATTAATGAATGTTCTTATTGCGAAAAAAAATAGTGTTAAATTTTTTCATAATTTTTCGTTATATATTAGAAGAAAGAATATCTACTTATTCAAGTTAAAAAATTTTCAACTTCAAAATAATGAAGTCAACACAAATAGCAATCATAGTTGTCGCGGCCGTCCTTTCAATTCTCTATATGGTCGGCGTGATAGCACTCGGATTACATCTAATGCACAAAAGTATGGAGAAAAAATTAATTGCTAAAATTTCATATGTCAAAAACAAATTGGGTTACTTAGCAGTAACCAACATTTCCAAGACTGATGAAGATAAATTTAATAGTTTTCAAGCAGATTTTAGTACATCAACGGATTGGCATGATAATCCTTCTGAACTTATCAACCTATGTAATTTTGCGACACTTCTCATTAAGTATTACAACTTGAAGCCTGATGATAAAACATCGAAAGAATATCTGAAACTCGCGAATGATATACTAAAAAAATTAAACGAGCGTATTTTTAAACCAAAAGACTACTCAACCCTAGTAAAAAGCAACTCTTGTGAACTATTGAGTACTTTACTGATATTATTGAATACGTTTGACTACTTGGCTGACGAGACATACCAAAGCACCAAGACCATCTGTCATAAACAGATACTTGAGATGGTGCCAGAATTCAACAAAATACGTTTGGGAGGAGTTCCGGAGTCTAATTTAAATCGATTCTATAAAGATTATAATGTCATTTATACAATCACTGCGAGATTGTTAACTAACATTAAACACAACAGATCTGTATACCAATATGATGTTGAGCAAAAAGAAGTGATCCAAATACTTAAAACCCAATTTGATTATCTGTCAAAAACACCCGAAGAGAAAAACAAATTTCATCTCTACGAAGTTTATTATAGTGTTTATCAAATTTTGAGCAATGATGCATTTACCTCTTATGAAAAATTGGCTATTTAGATAGATGAATTTTGTTATTTGCTGAAAATAAAAATTTGTGCCGAAAGTAAAAATTTTAAAACAAGCTACTGAAATTCGACAACTTAAAGAATTTTAATACTCATTAATATTAATATTTTGTATAAAAATGATTATATTCAATGAATTGAAGTTATGTTGAACAAGGTTTTTCTTCATACATTAAAAATTATTTCATTCAATAGGAAATATTATTTTTTATAAAATACTTATCCGCGGAAAATTTTAGACGAACTGTTTGTGTTCTACTACAGCTCTTCATTTCAGTTGAATAATTAAATTTTACAGTTCAACATTTGCTAAGTTTGTTCTGAACTTCATTAATCCAAACTCTCAATTCTTTCCACGTACGAAACAATTCTGAAGAAAAGAGAAATAACCAAGCGATTACTGTTTAGGATTAAGAGTACTTGCAAACATTGAAAGTTGGTTAATCTTACAAATTCTTTTTTACAACTTTTAACTACTAGTTTATTGCACAACTTTTATAATAATGTTTATAGTTCGTTTTACAATGGTATTTTCTAAGTTCTTTAACCTTAAGAGTGTTTCCATTAATCAATTTATTTGGAAAGATTTTTTCAATGGGAAGCTACAAGTTTTTTAAACTAAGTATGGATTTTTCAATCATTTGAACTGCATTGATACAAAACAAGTATTCATAGTCTGAGAGAGTTTGAAAAGAATAAAGCCGGATAAGCCAGAATGAAGTTGTGTGAATTTCCACCCGTACAACTTTCCTGAAAAGAGTTTATATTGAGCACTCACCCTTGAATTACACTCAGGTTGAATCGAGTTTAGTTGAGAGCTTTGGTTGTGTATTGATACGGGTCAAATGTAGGCGTTTACTATGATAATAATCATAATAGTAACACACATAGATCTGTCTATTACACCAGCCTGTCAGCGAACCTTGATATCTGCAGTGTATAATCAAGCTGGCCTACTTCCACCCTAACACTTTGTTTGCTATACTATAACTAGATACTCAATACATTTTAGAAATTAACATATCTACATGTATATATTCATTATTATTGTCATAAAATATTAATTATATTAAATTTATTTTTTGTACCGATTCTCAGTACTTATAACTGGTGATGATGATATATTTTTCTAAATTGATAGACAATCCAGTTTCTTTAAACTATTGTTTATTATAATCTTGTGATATTTCGTTCAATAACTCCGATTATTATTATTATTAAATTATTATTATTATTGTTTTAATTAATAGGCAATCCAGAACATTGTTAGACGTTGAACAATATCCATTGATAATTCACTGCACACTTTTTGAAGTAGTTGTGGTTTCTTATATATTGTGGACTCTCCTGATCTTATGTATAGCTGAATCTAAAACTTTTTGATCGTAAATTCAACTCAAGACATCTTTCTAGGAACTGTACCTTATTTATCTGGTTAAATTTCTTGAGATTTTCAACAATTTTATTATTTTCCTTTATATTAAAATTCCAAATGTTTATTTTACTAGTTCTCTATAACATACTAATTAAATTAACATCCTAATTAGAACCACGACTACTTCAAAGAGTGTACAAAGAATCATTAACGTAAATTGATCAACGTCTGATGATTAATTAATAAATGAAAAATTAATAATAATAATAAAACTCGGTAAAAATCTCCATCAAAATAAACTTCTCTGGCAATATCTGCAGCTGTCGGTGTGACTCGATAAGCACTCAGCATCCTTTTATTCTTCACTGATTGGAAATGTTATCAAAGTTACTCCTAAGGCTACTGAACTGATTCTCTTCACATTTTATTATTTTTATTATTTCAACCTTACAACTCTAACAATTAAATAACGCAATTGAACTGCTTAAAAAAATGAAAAAATAAAATATAAAAATGCTTGTCTATGAAATCAATGAATCTATTTTTGCTATCCAAATTATTGTAATTGGATCGATTAATTGGCCTGATATTGAAAGTGGACCGGTTATCGACTTCCTGTTACATTTAATTAAAGTCGTAGATTTTGATTTTTTTTCTACTCTATGGCCGTATAAAATATGTCGAGCAAATTGAAATGACAAAATGTTACAGGGGATTATAACATTTAATGCTATCGGGAGTGATACTAATATTAATTCTGCTTTACTTCTACTTGTGTATTAAAAAAAAAAAAATAAGCTAGGTAATTGATAATATTTCAGATCTACTTCATTCCTTTGATAAAAAAAAAAAAAAATAAACTTAAAGACTAATTTGATAGAGCACGGTAAGTTGAAAAAAACCATAAAAAAGCGGTTATAAATTTTCCCGAATTTCTCCGAATCGCGCGATAAGAAGTCGCTATTTAAAATAGGCAAAAATTGATATTCTCATGACGTCAACTTGAACATTTCGACTCCCCCGAACAAACCAAGCGTAAAAAATATGCTTAGCTTACTCAGCTATTTCCAAGGCATCGGTCCCTCAAACTATTATGGATAAAACGTATTCAATAATTCCCTTTGAAATATTTAAGCCTTCAAATGATTGTCATCTCCCTGTGTCTAATTAATTTTTTCGGTTTTGGTTGGATTTTGAAATTAACCGCATGTCTATTATTTTAAGAATTAAAATTTAACAAAAACTTTTTTACTAGACAATTAATTTTCCAGTCATTTGATTCAAGGTATGTCTTTACTCGTCTAGTTCGAAACAATTTTTTTTTCAGTTGGATAAGACTCATTATAAGAGTAGCATAAAATAAAAAATTTGCTATTTTCTATCAATTTGTAATATTCTCACAAATTTGATGTATATACATTAGAAATTAACTACTCAGTTATTCAGTTATTCAGTTGGATAAGATTCAGTTGGATAAGTTGGATTAGCATGAGCTAATCGCAATGAAGCACACGCTTCTGCACCACGAGATGTAAAAAATTAATTAACCAAGCTATTTTATAATAAAGAGTTCTTTAAAAAATTTTCTACTGTATCTTGTAGTTAAAAATACGAGCATATTCCCTTACGGGCGCATTAAAAATAATTCCATTTATTTGATGCTGCTCGACGCTGAAATAAAAAATGTAGACTATTCGCAATAAAAGTGGTTACTTTATAAGCCGTAAAACTTTTAATTAGTCATACATTAAAAATAATAATTTCTTTAAATAAAATAAAATATAATATAATATTTTAAATAAACTTTCAACTCGTTCTATAGAAAATAATCCTTTATTGAGTAATACACATCTATTGCAACTCATATTATTCAACTACTTTATGCAACCGTAATATAACCAACCCAAACTGAAATTTATACATAATAACAGAACACTAATCCTCAATATTTACATGAAATCCGGTTACGCTACACCTGACATTTACAACTATACCATAATAATAATTATGAAAAAGTTAAAAAAAAATATTCAACAGAACAATCGCTTCAAACAATTAATGCATATGTCATTAAAATAAAAAAATGAATGAAAGTTTTTCACAAAAAAGGAATAAAAACATTCTCTGTAGGTATATATTATTTTTCTTTCAGTGCTCGAATATTTTTTTACTCTTCTCTTCTCTTTTTTTTTTTCTTCTCTACTTTTACTTTCTTTTTCTCTCAGTTCCAGACACAAATTCATCTAATTTTAAATGCAACTATCTCTGTTTATCAAGCTAACGATGAATTTACATGTAATATAATTCAGCGGTTATATACTGTACAAATACTCGTTTAAAGATCTTTTTATCATTCTCAATGCTACTCTGACAACATCCCGAACCCTTGCAATCTACATGGTCTTATTACTGTTTGTCGAGGTTGTCAAACGTCTTCAGTCTGATGTACGTTTATTTTAAATACCAAAGTTAATTAAAAATATACAAAATAATATAACAGGAATTAATAAATATTTAGAATTAAATGTAAGAATAGTAAAAAATAAAAAGTTTGGAAAATCCAAAAGTGCACGCCTCATAATCTCATTTTTCACAATAAAATTGATTAAAATAAAATATAAAAAGCAAAATAATAAAAAACAGAAAACTCTGCTATGGTTTAGTGGCGCCATAACTCTAAGGTGAGGAAAAAAAATACTATAATAAAATGTATAGATAGATATACAAAAAAATCCACAGTCATATATTAGTTTTTTATAAATAATAATTTAACGACAGTGAATTGAACGATCATATTAATTAGGAAAATCCTTCGTGTGTTACTTTAAATAATAAAAAAAAAATTGTTCCGGTACGATCATTTTTTCGACCAATTTCCCTGCCACAGACACCCATCCATACGCGGACGTCCAAAAAAGATTATGTTTAATGTTATTATTTACTATGTTAAACAAAAAAATTGTTATTGAAACATATTTTATGTGCCTGACAAATTATTCGACTTGATACAAGTGTACTCATATTAACCTATAAGTGCGATATAAATAACAAAAAAACAATTTCAGTTTCGAGAAAACTGCTTTTTTCGAAATGTCGAGAGTAGAGCACAACCTCAACGCTTCGCTTATGAGGCGTGCAATAAGAAATATTGTTTTGGTTTTGTTGCTTTTGAATAAAAAAATGTTTTTAGGTGTTTTTTTAGCTGATTTTTAACACAACCATGAAATGTTTTTATGCATCAGCTCAGAATGTAAAAAAAAAAGTTTTTTTATAGTGGTTTATATTAAAGTCTAACATGTAATATTTTGAACTAAAATAAAAATAATTTTATGTACTGGTGCGAAAAAATTTCAATTTTAAAATCAGCGACTAGACTGATAAAAAAAAACTAGCAACCTTGCAGTTATTATGTGACTGCCGTAAGTTGTGAGCTATTAATAAATAAAATTTTGCTTCATTAAATAATGACTTTTGTCAAGTTAAACTGTACTTTCTTAACTATTAACGTTTTTAAAGATATAAGCTCATCTCGATGTTACACTCATCAAGAGCTTTCATTTGAGTACCCAAATACATTTTTATATATTTTTCATATATTCATATATATATATAAATATATGAAAAATTGATGTGGGTACTCAAATGAAAGGTCTCGATGAGTGTAATGTCGGGGTGAGTTTATATATTTAAAAATGTCAATAGTTCACAAGATACAAGGTCATTTCTTAATTGTGTATCTAGAGACAGAGCATTTTTGAATGCAGCATAAATACTTATTATGATAAATTGACTATAGGTGAGAATGATATGAAACCTTGAAAAGGCAGAAATTCCAGTCAAGACCTTTGCAATGACACTACATTTTACTAAAAAAAAACCGATTTTAGCATATGACTATTTTGGACACAAAATTTTTTTTATTCTCTTAATAATATAGATTAACCTGATCCAAAAGAAAAAATTTTGAACCAAGAAAATCATTTAGAAGAATTTTTTACTTGGAATCATGCCAAAAAATGATTAAACACAAATTTATCTGGATTGAAGTTTAACAATTATTCAAGATTATTTTCTTGGTAAAATTTTTTCTCTTGAATCAAATTAATTTTTTTATCAGTGAAATTAAAAACAAGTTTTAATTAAAAAGCAATAAAAATGAAAAAATATAATTTTGCCACCATATAATTGTGTAATGTATGAATTGTCATAATGAATAACATAAACTATAATAAAACAGAAATCCGCATTGGCATATTGTAGGAGATGGTGACGTGACTAATTAGCGAGAGAGCAAGAGAAACCGGATGTCCGTGTAGTAGTCATGAACTCGACCGGAAACGCTGGATCACAGGAGGGTGGTAATAGCGGTGAATATGGTAGTAGCGAAGAAACGGCTGCGTTGTTGACCCGTGGACCACCGCCGCCAGTTGTTGTTAGTAGTGGATCTCATCAGGGTAAACCAGTATTAACGCGTCAGGATCGGGCGACCTTTCTAGTTGCATCCCCGCAATTGTCGGTCTCTGGTTTGGGTGGCAGTGAAGAAAGCGGTACCAATGAGGATCCCGCCACCAGAAGTGTCCCCGACATTGAATTGCACTGCAGACTAGATGGTGAACCACAGCATTTACAACAACAGCAGCAATGCCATCACCCAACGACGACGACCATTTATCGTGCCAGACAGCCCTCACATCAGTACAGCCGGTGTCGATGCGACCGTCGAGATTCACTCGCACCCTCATCTGCGCTTCATCTGGCACGCAGTGTCTCCAGGTAGGTTCACTCTTCATTTCATTTTCCATATTTTTTAAATCAACGCCTTTTATTTGGTCTTTTTTTATTTTACTTTATCCTATCACCTTTTTTTTTTATTAGTTGTTGTACTAACACCTGCCATGCCATTTATTTTTTTTATCATACACGATTATTGTCTACGCCTTGTTTTGATTCTTTGGAAATTCCTCACTGAAGATTCGGGAGTCGCCTAACCTGGATGATGCCTAAGAAATTCGATATTGATGCGATTATGTAAATTAAAACGAATGATGTAGAATTTTTAGAATCTGTAAATTTTTTTTTTAAGTAGTAGAAGTTTTGTAGTATTGTAATTTTGTAATTATAGATTAAGAAAATTAAGATGAAGTTGAGTAGAAAATAAAGAAAAAATGAAACCTTTTTATTTAGGGCAGAAATTAATTAAAAATATTTTAAATCAATAAACTGACGGAAAAATTCACAATTCATTTTTTTTTTTTTAAGGTAATACGGTTGATAAAATTACCTTCCAGAATTTAATAAAATTCCGTACATTAGTAGATAAATAAAAAATTCTTGACTTCCGAATAAATTTTTTTGAGTCAAGAAAATATATCGACGTTCTAATTGGAAAATTGTCTAACTCCATTTTAGAAAAAATTCTTGTACGAAAAAACAATTAGTTCGAAATTTATTATCACTTTAAAAGACAATTTAATGTCTAATAGAGGTATAATATTTTGATTTGGAACATTCAAATAATTTATAATTAGACTATTGCTACATTAAAATGTTAAAAATTCATCCTCCAAAAATTAAGGAGTTAGACCAATTGCTAATTAGACCGTTGATTTGTAAAGAAGAAATTTATCTAGGATAAAGTAAAATTTTTTTGAGCCAATGAAATTTTTTCTTGCTAAGTTTACTAAGATTATGTGATTATTTTAACTAGTGAAAAATTATCTGTCTTTCTTTTTCTAATTTGACATTTGAAGATAGTATCGTCGATACTACCTTAAATAATTCAAGGTAACTTTTTTTTGCACGTCTCATAGGGCGGAGCACGAGAAGTAGTGCTTTACTCCCGACTCGTCAATTTGATAAATTTTTAAAAGACAAAAATTGAAGATGAAATTAAAAAAAAAATTTATTTGGTTAAAAAAATTTGTTTGCAATTTTATAAGAATTATATTGAGTCTGAAAATAAAATAGTTGAAAGGTCATTTACTGAATTTAATGATTTTTTATTTTAATTTTTAATAATTCAAACTGGAAAGCTGAACTTTTACTCACAAAAAAGTTTAGAATTTAATAGAAGTTTCAACATTGAACTTTAAAAATTAAAATATTCATTAAATTAAAAATATATTTTGGAAAACTTTTTACCTTTATCAATTAATTACAGAAAAATAAAGCTGCAATTTAATAATAATTTTTTAAATAAATTTTTGAGTTTATCCGTCATATATTATTTAATTATAATGCATATATTTATAATAAAAGAACATTTCAACCGATTTTTTACAATTTCATCTGAATTTTGATAGCTAGTAGATCCATTTGTATTAATTCCTAGAAATATTTTCCCGTTAATTACAAATATGAAGAGAAGAGAAAAAAATGTAAATTGTAGCAAAATAAAGATTTAGAGTAGCAATTTTCTGAACTTTGAATTCCATAACTCTTAACAATTTTAATTAACACTGGCACGTAATATGTATCCCACAGATTCTGATAGCTAAATTAGCAACATGCACTGCACAATACACACTAGAATAATATTTCTTAGTTATTGCACAGTGGATAGGAGTAAGAGCAATATTCCCTTCACGAACAATCCATTGGTACAGCAATATTGTACTTTAACTTAAGAGATAATAATAACAGAGCGAGAAAAAAATTTACAACTCAACGATTCAAGTCAACGCTCAACATGTGCGGAACGTAGATCGTAAATTTACTGGTCTCAATACATCCTGCATAAAGAATATTACGCTCTGTATATTTTTACGTGTATCATACTTTACAGCAGAACCATATTGCTGATCAAACTACATTATTCAAAATTTTTTATCCCATTGCAAGAATTTAACCAATAAAATATATAACCCATCGGAAAAGTCAACAAACTTATGTACTTGTGATATCAAAAATTTATTTTTATTGAAACTATTAAATTTTTAAAAAGTTTCAATTCGTAATTTCTGATATTTTATAATAATTTTCATCAAATAAAAATATTACACTTAAAAGTCGACTTGAAGTAATATTTTTTTTCGATAAATTTTACTTTCGTGAATTCTCAATACAAGATTTTCAATTACCGAGAAAGTTTCAAGTGCAGATAGTTCCTAGTTCCTAAATTGAATTGATGATCATTCAGTTTACTATACAAATAAATTCCTTGTTTTTCTTTCAATGTATGTTGTTATGTTGCAACAGTACTCTGCATTAGTTTACTGAATAGAGCAGTTGTTGATTTACGTACAAAGGGTTCATTTGATTGGAATTAATTTAGCGAACTGGGATAACATTTTAGTTTCAAAAAAGATACGGAAATACTTTTTCCGTAAGAAATAAAATTTTTTAAAAATTAAATAGTAAATAAATTTTTTTTTTTCATTTAATTTTGTAGCTATACATAGAAAAAAAATGTTCTTGGATCAAGCATATAATTTTGGAGAACTTAATATTCTTGATTTGAGTAGAAAAATTCTTGATTCAAGACAATTACTCTCTTCAAAATTATATTCTTGGTTCAAAAATTTTTCTCTTGAATCAAGTTAATTTTTTTTCAGTGTACTAATAAAAAAAGATTTTTTAGGAATTTAGATATTTATATAAAAAAGTTAATAGACTATTTTGCAGAGAAACTAACGACCTACAGCAAATTCAAGGAAAAAATTCAAAGTTTACAAAGTTTCATAAGTTAATATTTTAGAAAATTTTTTAAAGCTCAATGTCATACGCTATAATATATATAATATATAAAGCTAATAACGCAGAAAAAATCGATAAAGCCAAACCAAATATTTCTACTATTTTAAACATCTAAAATAGTGAAAAAATACAAAATAAAGTCAATAACTTTTCAATTATTTCTAATTTAATTGAAAAACGATTCAAAAGTACAAAAAAAAAATATTTTGAATGAGTCCAAATAAACTTGCACATTTGAATAGTTTGACCAATTTTGTAATTGAGAATCATAAGAGCTTAACTTGCAGCAAAAATAAATTTGAACATCAAATAAAGAAAAATTCTCGGACAGAAGTATGTCCTCGACTTGTATTCTATGTCCAAGGTTCCTTGTTACTTTTAAATTAAAAACTACAAAGCGTCAAAAATAACAGCAATTAAAAAGAATTACTAAAAAGACACCTCGGGAAATATTTTATTTTTACAAAAAAAAAATATGTATAGTAGTAAAGTAACGAAATGTAATTTTGTTTGAAGATATACTGAGTTAGGTATTCATGAATAAATCGACTCAAACGCACTCGAGGGAACGGGAAAAACGTACATCGTATCGTGTGTAATAGTTACTTGAGCAATAGTAGCTTAAGCATTACGATAGATCCGTCGGGAAATCAATTTTATCTTTGTAATCATTCAAATGATCAAAACGCGAAAGTTTAATAAACCATGTAATATATGGTAGCATACATCGGACATTTTTGGCTCAATATACAAATAGATAATCGGATATTTTTATCGCAATTTCACCTTGTAATACCATTGAGAAATTGGAACTTATTTAGTCAGATACTTTACTGAGAATTTATTTTAATCAAGAAGGAAAAGAAACTTTTTTCTTTTACTTTCTTGGATAAATTCAATAGACTTTAATTAGAAAAGATAATTAATTGAAAAAATACAGTGTCTTTTTTTACGGTTTAATTAATTTTAAGAGTAGGATTTAATTATTCAATCATTGGCTTGTGTTATAAATTTTAATTATAACTTTTAATCGACAGTTTTCATTTGTTGAATGAATTAAAAGCGACTGCTCACTGTTGACGGAACTTTTTTTATGATTTATGAAAAAATTTCTGCGATAGAATTTTTGCTTCAAAATTATTAATGAAAGTCAAACATTTAAACAGTCGAATTTTTATTTTCGAATTCTGGCAATTTTTTAATTTGTAGAGTTTAAATTTATATTTTGTTTTTTTTTTAAACAAACAAGTTGTCAAATATCTGCTACTCTCTGTATCATTTTATAGTCCTGGTATTTATTCACTGACTACGGTCTGTATTATTACATTCCGAGAGACAGAATATTTATGTTGTTAAATAAATTTACCAGTAGCGATGTCACATTTTATCACACTGCGGTGATTATCTTAACTAATGTAACCCGGGAATTCTGCTCCAATAATCGCTCCATTTTTCATTAAAAAATATTTTTAAATTGAAATAAAATAAAATCCATTGAAATTGTCGATTACAAAGCGAGCATCGCTATCCAGTAAGCCATAATAGTGACTATTGATTGTTCAAATAATATAAACGATAATTGACAGTATTTAATTAAAAGTTCTTGTTTTAATAAAATAAAATCGGAATTTCACGTCAATTATTATTACTGAATTTGCGAGCGAAAAAATTGCTTTGAATTATAAATAGAAAGTTCCAACATACCTCACTGAAAATATTCTGCAAGAGGGTTGCCCTGTGTCGCCAAGTAAACATCTCTTATTAAGTGCTATCTCTCCACCGGGACCGGATGATGTAGGTCTTGGCAGTTGATATAGATCAAGATCTTGTCGATTGGCAGAAACTGTGACGCTTGTTATCTTGATCGCGACACTAAAAATGTCAGACAGGCAATTTTTTAATAATTTTAGCAAGCAAGTCGATATTTTTAGCAAAAAATGTTTTTCATGCTAAGTAAACTTGTCAGAATTTTAAATTAATGACTGAACACTTTAAAAACTCAACATGAAACAATTGTTTCATTTTTGACATCTGACAATTTTTTTAATTTTTTTCTCGCAAGTAAATTACTCAAAACAATAATAAAAAAATTTACATTCTTAAAAAGTTGAAAAAAATTCTTGTACAATTATTTAAAATTGTATTTATAGCTTTTTTAATGATAGTAAAGTTAGCCGACGTTTTTAATTTTTTTATTATTTTTCATTTATTTAATTAGAACTAGAAAATATTTTTAAAAAATTGCACTCATAGTTTTTTATGTTTTTTACAAATGAAAACTTTGTTTTATTTTTTTGTAAAAAAAATTTTTATAATTTTTAGATGTCGGCTAACTTAATTTTCAAGCTTTTTTAAATTTTCGCATCTGGAATTAAAAAAAATTTTTATTTATAAATATTTATTTGTTAAAAAAATTGCTTAAATATTTTCTGCTGCCTGTTGATTCATATATCATATTATTTTCAAAGTTTATCTAGGTATTTAAAACATTACAAAATTTTCATAATACCAAAAAAAAAAAGCAGACACCTGATATTTTATGACACTGAAGTTAACTGACGTCTAAAAATTTTTCATTATTTTAATTAATTAAATTACAACTGAAAAGATACTTATAAAAAATTGCACTTACAATTTTTCAAGTTTTGTACATGTGAAATTTTTTTTTTTAATTGAAATTTTTTCAATAAAAAGTTTCTAAAAATTTTGAAATTTCGGTTAACTTTATTTTCATTTTTTTCTTAATAAATATATAATTTAAAGAAAAAACATTCAATATAATTTTTAAATGTAATTGGCTTTTACATCTATTAAAATAATTAATAAGATAAAAATTTTCATGACAATGAAATTGAGAAAAAAATTCAAAAATTATAAAATTACACTTGCGATTTTTCTCAAAATAATTTTCAATGATTAATTTATTCGTAGTATAAAACCCAAAAATTTTGGATTGTCCGCTAATTTCAAAGTAATACAAAAAAATTTTAATTTCAGTTTTTAATTTTTTTGAATAAAAATTCATTATCAAAATACCGAGTGTCGGCTAAATTAATCATTATAAAATTTTAAATCTCGAATTATTTAAATAATTTCAACAATTTTTTTTATTTAGAAAAAAAAACAATTGTTTCCTGTTTATTATTTCAAGTATCATAGTCATTCATCATCGACTATGACTATGATTACATATATCACTCACCCGAAAAATTTTTGTGCTTTGACTCTGAAATCTTCACATTTACCGAAACGTCACGTCAATTTACTGTTCGAATAAAAAACTAAATCCCGAATAAAAAAAAACATCAAACCTAACCCCGAGGCGCGCCAACTTACTCCCGAGCTAAAAATAACAACAATGATAAATAAAATAGGATCTATATGTATTAAAAATTAAAAATAGTAAGAGTCATAAATTACTTTAAATTCTGTGACAAGAAACGAATGAATTTAAAAATTCACGCAGAGAATCTAAAACTAATGCATGCAATTACGACATGACGCCAGCAGACACCGGTTTCCCTCCAATCCGTCCGAGATTCGAGAGTCGAATGGAATAATCGATAAATGGAAGCTCCGTTCGATAGCCAATCCCGTTGTACTTCAGGTTTCCCGCTTTCCCGCTCGCGGCACTAAACCCCGCAGGATTCAAATTAAAAAAAATTTATTATATTAGTAATTTTTTTTAAATGCTTCAATAGAATTTTTATTGCATAGAAATTTTTTTTAACAAATAAATTATAGCAAAAAAAATTAGAAGAAAAAATTGACATGTAGAAATTTTGAAAAATTAAAAATGCAATTATTTTAAAATAATTTTTCGGAACAAATTAGATTTTTAAAAAAAATTAAAATTCTAGTTTTCTATAAGATGTCTAATTTAATCTTTTCTTATTAATTTTTGCAACAATTAGTCAATTTCATTATCTCCCACATACTTAAAGTAAACTTTTTTAATAACAAATCATAAATTGGTGTTTATTCTTTCCGCGAACACAGTTGTCAACGCAGTCGTAATCTTCGACATTTTTTTCAGTATTTTTCTCTAATATTTTTATTTTTCGACACCATGGTTTGTAATTTTATTAATTATTAGAATAAACTAATTAAATGTTAATTGATTTTCAGAAAAAACGGGTTAAAAAATTTTTAACCTCATTGTTGTTAAACAACACTTAAATTAGCAGAATTTTTACAAATTTTTATTTCGACTTATTTAATTTCAATAAAAAAAATTTTAGATTGGCACATTTTTAATATAATTGAAAAAAAAAAAAAAAAAATTACATTTAAATCAGCAAACTGATAATTTTTAATTATTTTAAAAAACAATTTATAAAAAAATTTTCATTGATATTTTTTTTTATTTTCTTATCTAGAATTTTTTTTATAAAGATTTAATTATTAAAACAATTTTGGCAAATATCAGATGTTTATTTTCCAAATTAAAATATTTTCATATTTCCAAAAATTTTTTATTATTAATTTTTTTATCCTAAATTTTTACAAAATTTTATTTCGACTTATTTAATTTCAGTAAAAAAAAACTAAACAAATTTTAGATTGGCATATTTTTAATATAATTGAAAAAACAATTATATTTAAATAAGCAACCTGATAATTTTTAATTATTTTAAAAAATAAGTTATAAAAAAATTTTCATTGATATTCTTACCTGGAATTTTTTTTATAAGGATTTAATTATTAAAACAATTTTGACAAATATCAGATGCTTATTTTAAAAATCAAAAAATTTTTTAATTTCCATAAATTTTATTATTAATTTTTTTATCCTAAATTTTAACAAACTTTGTTATACTTGCTCTTATTTTGATAATTTTTATTCACAAAAAATTTTTTAATTAATTCACTTTAATTTATCAAAAATCTCATAACTGCTAATTAAATAATCCAATAAGCAAGCATTGAAACTAATAAAATACATAAATTACAGGGAAAGTGTAAGAAGTGGTCACCATTGTTGTCCGTGTCAAGCACCACCACCTCCAGTACTGGTGACAACATCGCCAAGTACTCGAATAATAAGACAAAGTTCTCAGCCAGAAGCATCAGCGTGCTGTTGTTCAGGATGTTACTGTCCTCTACATTCAAACACCGCACCGAGTGCATCTTTGCGTCAATTACGTGAACCCGGTGATGGGATTGCCGGGATCGCCGCTGATTCATTGCGAATCAATGGTGGAATTCGTCAATTTCGACAGGTAAATTATTTATCTTTCTAGCTTGATATTTATTTATTCAATTTAATATATTATGAACCAATTAATAACCATGCCATTAGCATTTAATTTAACTTATTATATTTAAATCTAATTTCTGTATATCCTCTCAATACTCCTGCATATCATTTCATTTTCCTGGATCGTGGATTTATTGCTATGATTATATTACTCAGATAACTAATTATTAATTAATTAAATTATTAATATAATAATTTTATTATTACTAACTCTCGGGAACCCAAGTACGGCTCGCAAAGGTCCAATATCCGTATCAGTTGGCGTTTCGTAACTCATTAATTATTTTCCCGTAGGTAATATATTACGGTAATGCAAAAACTTGATGTCTTAATTAGGCGCGGTAGTTAACGAATGATTTATAATTAATTTAAAAACGAAACAAAGTTTTTAAGTACTCGAAAAGAAGGGAAAAATAGTTTTTTTTTTTTTTTTTTTCAATTCACTAATAGAACAAGAAGTGCGGAAGTTATATTATGAGATTTATTATTTAATTGATTAGTTTATTAGATAAATAATTTGATAAGAGACATTAAAATCCGACGAAATAAATAATTTAAGACGATGAGAGGTTTTGATTTTAATAATTTTTAATCCGTTTTAAATAATTCTGCATTGGGTATTTGCCGGGAGAATATTTAAGGCTCGTTGAATTTATTACTCAGGGGTCATGAGTAATAATATATAGTATCGGATTTATCTATTCAACAATTTATATAGAGTTGAGCGAACTGAGAAGCATTAGTTACTGCTTTTTCTATTTATAAATTTTTAATAGACGGATTACTTGGGGTTGTATGCTACAGTTAATATTTTCAAAGAGTTTAAGCACATACTTCCAGATTTAAATAACTTTTTTATTAGATGAGTTCCAGTTAAGAAAAAAATTACATTTAGGTATCTGAAATCTCTCTGTTTTTATGGGTAATTAATTTTTTTAATACTCAAATAAACTGACTAATATTTATTGATATTTTTGACAATGATAATTATTAGAAATTTTAATTTTTCGGGTTGAAGATTTTGATATTGAAAATTTTTAATTATTAAAAATTATTAATTATTAAAGAATCGACAACAAATTTTTGAATATCATGCGATTTATTTTTAAATTAACTAAATATTTTTCGAACGAAAAAAAGAGATTAGTGTTGTCGTATCACATCTATTAATAATCTTATTATGTAAAAAGTATACAAAAATAATCTTTGTTTACAATTTTTAAATTTATAAGTATGCAGCGTGACCTCAAATAACCTCCGAATTTTTTTTTAACTTTTAGGAATTCATAAAAAATAAAATAATATATATTTAATACTGAAAAAAATCAGATATAAAAAATTAATCTGATTTAAAAATAGTCTATCGCTTTTTATCAGACAATTTATTTTTAAAATAAAAAAAATTGAATCTCAAGTAGATGATCAACTGAACATCTAGGTTTACTCCACTAAAAAGTCATCTGGAAATTTTTTTATTTTTATATCTTTCAATTCACTTTAGTACCATGCAAAGGATGAAAAAAACTGAACAATATTCGAAATAAAAGTGGATTTGTTGAATATATATTCTAGAGCTCTTCAACAATATGTCGTTTCTGTCAAGCAACAGACTTGTCAATGCACTTAATGTGGCTTAGAGGAGTCACTTACTGAAATTAAATCTTCTCCTTGAAATCTTCTCGTTGAGATAAATTGCAAGCTCAGATGCTGTTAAGTTACTTGAATGTGATATCGCTAAGAGTTTAAACTACTTTTCATTCAGCTGACTATAAAAAAAAAAAACAACATTTTGTTTATTTTTTTATTTTTCGCGCTTCGTTTCATAATCAGATCTCTTTAATTAATTTTGTAACTATTAAATTAATTCAAAAACTTCCTCATCGCGTTATTTTCACTCAGAGAGCTCGGGTTAAGCTATTTCATATGAAAATCCCAGGAGTAGATCCGTTAAGATGGGTGATTTAAAAGTTTTATGTTTAACATGAAAATACGCAAATATTTTTTCATTATTATTATTATTATTATTATTATTATTATTGATCTCTACGATGTTCAAAAATAATGTGTACATTTTTAAAGTTTTCAAGATTAAAAATTTTATTTACAAAAGTTGAAATATTTCATTATTTTTTTAACTTTATTGAGCAATTAGTAATATGTTGATATTTTTGTAGTACAAAGTAGACAAAAACTTTGAAAATTTATAATTAATATTCATTTTTGGACAGCAAAGTTTACTGTTAAATAAAATTCAAAATTATCAATATTGTAAAATATTTATCTTTTTTCAAAAATTAACCAAGTTTTCAAAACCTCGTATTTTATTTTTAACCATGTATGAGATCAACAATAATAATTATAATTAATAATTGACAAATATTTCCTTATTAAAACCCATTATTTTTATTTTATTTTCAAATATTAAAATTTTACTAAATACTTGTAATATTTTTTACAAAAAAAAATTAAACAGTTTATAAATGCATGTAGCAATATAATATTCAATCAACGCTCCAAGTTAATCCAACAAAAGCAAGTTTCAATATTACGGCAAATAAACATTCAATCAATTTAATAAAACAAAAACAAAGCTTACTGAATCTTCAAAATGACTCTTTTCACACCCAATTAAAATAAAACAACAGAAATTTAATTAAAAAACTATCAATTTATTCTCTGCTTCACATGTGTGTTTTATCAGAGCTTACTCACCAATTAATACGCAAAACATACAATCATTTTATATTACTATTTATTTTCACTCGCACACTGTGTGGTTGAGAATATTAATTTTGCACAATATTTCAAGTATAAACATTATTATTATCATCGTTGATTCCAAAGTTTCATTGGTCTACAGTAATCGAGGATTTATTTGCACATATCTTAGTTCGTAATATCAAAGTAGGCATTTCTGCGTTATTAATGTTCGTCTTGAAATCAAATATACGTATCTTGCATATAATAATAATAATTATTATTATGAATACGACATATCATACATAAAAGGTCTTATTTTATACATATGTACTGCAAGCGCATCATAGTTCTGTAATCCGAATTTATTGATTCAAACTCGGAGTAAAAACGAATTCCTATCTGTGAGAAAATTATTGAAATCTTTATTGAATTTATAGCGACGTAAAATCGTCGAATTGAATTCAATGTAAAAAAATTCTATTCTGATGGAAAATTTTTATTATATGTCTTGATAATTCACGGAACTATAAAATGGAAAATAAGAATAAAAATTGAAGTAAAGTATGAGAATTAAAATTATTTTGATTAGGATGAAAATGAAAAATTTTAATAAATAGTAAAGAATATTGTTGACATTATTGATTACTGGGGTAATAGCATTGCTGTGACCATGTGTAAATCGATTTCGATGGGTAATTACTCTTCGTTATGAAGGACAGAATACTAGACTGATTATTGCACAATCAATCGAATGTCAAATGTCCTCAACTATGCAAAATTAATGATTGATTAATATATTGCTAATTAGAAATTTTTATTACCTCCCTTTATATATCATGCTCTTTAGTTGTTATTATGCAATTGATTATGTATTATCACAATTATAATCATTATCGTTACATGATCTTGTGCTGGTTAATGTGAATTGTATTAATTAATTTTTTTGTCCGACGAGTTCAATTGTCAAGCATCGATTCGGGACACAAAAGGCTATTGTTCGGTTAGTATGAGGCCGATAATTAATTTTACCGAAATTTTTTGTGTCATACAAGAGGTATGAACACGAAATACTGAATATTTATAAAGAACGAAAATCTAAATCGATTGTTTTTTTTTATAACTGTTCTGAAAATTTTAAATTAATTAACAGTGTTGGTGGGTTGACTATAATACAGTATTTTAATTATTCGTTGTAAATTCTGTAAGATGAATATTAATTGGTATTTGATATTTTATATAACACATGAAGTGAAAAATCGATAGGATTGATTTCGAAAGAATAAGTAAATTATTGATATGACTAAATGAGGATTATGATGTACAAAAATTTCTTATTACAATTGAATTATACAAATAATTTAGAAAATCAGTACCATATAATCACAAACATGTCAATACACGAGTTATTGCGCTTATAAATTGTTTTTATTATGGGGTTACTTGATCTTCCGGATATTTATCTTCCAGTTATTTTCGCTCAGTCGTTTATGACGAAACTCTCATGATTTTTAACTTGGCATCTAATAGCCGAAGGCGACAGATATATCAATCGAAAATTAATATGAATTGTTTGATTTTTTGTAAGTTATGAAATTACGAAAATTTTATCTTAGTAAATAATAATAATAATAATAATAATAATAATAATAATAATAATAATAATAATAATAATAATAATTTTACTTTGTTTATAAATACTTGTTACCACAACTGATACACGTGGACTTATTTTAAATAGATTCAAATATCAAATATGAAGTGATATTGTTTCGAAAAATAATGGTGGGTATAAGTTGTGGTAACAAGTATTTATAAACAAAGTAAAAAAAAAAATAATATAAAAACGACGAGACAAATAACGAAACGAATATACGTAGAAAATACATATAAAACACCGCAGACAAATTAAAAGCATGGAATACAAGTATCGGTGGCTCTCTCACGTTCGATATCCTCTTGTCTAGAAATTGTCAATTTTCATTTAAATAAATTTATTGTAGAAACGGTTGTCCTTAATGTAATTCAATCGTACAATACAATAAATTTATCTATTTAATCAATACTATTCTATTAAGGATTTTTTATAAATTTTCACTCGTGCGCACAGTACACAGATTATAAATTTTCAAAATAAAAATTTATTATTTTTAATTAAAGAACAGTATTGCCTTAACTATTTGCTGCGCTCGGTAAATACTTAATATCAATATATTAATAAACTGTTTGAGCATCAAACCGAATATGCAGTACGCATCTTGTCTGATTGCTTCAATGTTAAACTAC